AGGCACACGCCACCACACCTGACGAATTTTTGTATTTAGAGTAGAGATGGGGTTTCGCCATGTTGGCCAGGCTGGTCTTGAACTCTTGGCCTCAAGTGATCCATCCGCCTCGGCCTCCCAAACTGCTGGGATTACAGGCATGAGCCACTGCACCCAGCCAACCCCCTAATTTTTTAGACAGAAAAGCTGAGGAACTTGTCCAAACTCACACAGCTAAGTAGGAAGTACCAGGACCACAACCCATACATTCTTCCTCCCAGTCCAGAACTCTTTCTGTTGCACCAATCTTTGTTGGGCCAGGACACCGGAGTCCTCACCTTCCTTACCAAAGGCTCCTTACAGGAGTCAGGCCTACAGAAGTGGGTTTCTTCCTCCTGGGACTTGTTTGTTGCAGCACCAAGGACTCCCCCACCCAGAACTCCTTATCAGGATCCAGGATGGGCTCTTAATCTGCAGTGTGCAGAGCCTTGTCTGCACTCTCTGGGGAGGTGCATTATCATTCAAAAACAGCTGACTGACCACAGGTCTCCCAAGCTGGCACTGCTTACCAAGTGGAGAAGATGGAAGCAGAACAGACCAACCAGTGCCTAGTCCCTGAACACATGAAAGCCACGAACTGCAACTCTTCAAGCAATTTCAGGCCAGAAGCCCCTGTACCCCCAGGTAGCCAAGGGGTGTGCTCCAGTTTTACTGAAATTGGTTCATATCTAAAAAGAAAACACATTGCTTGATCACAGAATGCTCTCACGTAAATTGAGGAACTACTAGTTTAGCAAGAGCCGAGACTGGCCCCAAGGCGAATCTGCCGTGCTGTGGCTCCCCTGACTTGAAGAGACAGAAGTGGGTGAAGGGTCCTCTCAGTCTCCAACCTTCCCTGAATTTCAGGCTTTCCACTAAACAAGGAAATATTCTTCATGAGCAAGGCTTTTTAGGAATCAGGAAGATAGATGCTGACTTTGTAGCAAACGCTCAAAAGAGGGTGGGCAAAAATCTCTCAACACTAACCCTGTCCTTACATCCAAAAAAGTAGGTCCTTTCAAGCAAGTGTCTAAGGCATTTATTTCAGAAGCTACAAATAAAAGTGGGACTACTCCTTTCAATTAACAACCCCTTGATACAATGAATTTAACCAAATTCTATTTATGATACAAATGACCTGGCCTCCCCAAACCCCATCCCTGGCTCCCCTACCCTCCTCACTCAATACAGGCATAGCACACACAGTCTCCCTGGGCTACCTCCAACATAGCACACCTAGAGAAAACTATATGCTTGTTGATAAAGGTCATGGAGGTATGAAATGAAGTTGGGGGAGTTGTCATTTTATATGAAGCAACATGTGTAAAATTTAGTTTAAATACAGGTCACTGCCCGGTGCAGTGACTCACATCTGTAATCCCAGCACTTTGGGAGGCCAAGGCGGGCGGATCACCTCAGATCAGGAGTTCGAGACCATCCTGGCTAACATGGTGAAACCCTGTCTCTTATACTAAAAGTACAAAAATTAGCCAGGCATGGTGGCGGGCACCTGTAATCCCAGCTACTCCAGAGGCTGAGGCAGGACAATCGCTTGAACCCGGAAGGCGGAGGTTGCAGTGAGCCAAGATCATACCACTGCACTCCAGCCTAGGCGACAAGAGCGAGCGAGACTCCATCTCAAATAAATAAACAAATAAATAAATAAATACAGCTCACCTACAGCCAAGAAAAAACTAGACCAGGTCGGGAATGTACTTGCCCTCAGTGGGAAACTCGGCTTGTGTCAAAAATCTCATGGAAAGAACTCAAAAGTCAGGGAGGATAAAAACTGTTATTTCCTTGCATGTAGCCAAAGGGAGTTATAAATTGGTCACAAACTTTTGGCTCTCACTCCAGTGTTTGCTGTCAGAAGTAGCTGCTCTTTGGCTAACCTGCAGCATTGGCATTCAGCTCCAGTGCATAGATCCTGAGGACTAGCTGCTCTTGTCTAACAAGACAAGTATGGTGGGTAGCAAATGGCAGCCCCAGAGATGACAAGAGCACCTTTACTGGGAATTGCCAACAATCCTGCCTTAGCCTGGGAAGGAGTTCATTACCTGCTGCTTACCAAACCCTGATTATTGAGACAGGCTCTGTCTTAATCATTTTTAATATGTTCAGTGCCTAGCACTTACTGACAATACATGCTTGCTAAATGAATGACTGACTGAATGAATGAATGAAATGAAGGACTGTCAAAAACAAAAAAACAAGATGCATAAGATGGAGATCTGACTAGACTAGGGAATGTTCAGACTAGAACCCTGTTACTTCTAGCATCTTCACAGGGAAATTAGAATCCTCATTAAAGGTGGAAGTAGGCTGGGCATCGTGGCTCACGCCTGTAATCCCAGCACTTTGGGAGGCGAAGGCAGGGGGACCACTTGAGCTCAGGAGTTTGAGACCAGCCTGGGCAACATGGCAAAACCCCGTCCCTACAAAAATTACAAAAATCAGCCAGGTGTGGTGGCACATGCCTGCAGTCTCAGCTACTCAAGAGGCAGAGGTGGGAGAATTATCTGAGCCCAGGAGGCAGAGGTTGCAATGAGCTGAGATTGCACCACTGCACTCCAGCCTGAGCGACAGAACGAGACCCTGTCTCAAAAACAAAACAAAAACAAAAAATAAACACACACACACACACACACACACACAAAACAAAAAAAACAACAAAAACAGGGAAGTAACGAGCTACTTTCCAGGGAAGAGGGGATGCTTGGAAATGGCCCAGCCATACAACCAGATTTTTCTTTTATGCCACCCACATGCTGTAGATTGAGTGCAACTGAGGAGAAATACTATTAAACGCAAAGAAAGGATTTGGATCTGAAAGGGAAACGCAAATGTACAATGTGAGAATTTTATCTTCTCTACGCCACACAAGTTTATCCTGCTACATTTTTATTAAAGTAACAAAAAGGTGTACATTTGTCCATAAGCTGTACATTCTTCCATATAAAAACACTATCATACAATTAGTAACCTTTGTCTTTTCTGTCAGAATAGCTTACAAACATGCTACTATTATTTATTTTTACTTAATAGGAGAGACAGGTCTGCTCAACAGTCCAGCTCGGGGGTTTCGTTGTTTTTAAAGTGAACATCATCAAGAAGAGAAGAGAGACAAGATTAAGCATGAGACCATGGGGCTGCTTCTAAAAAGGCAGGGACCTGTTTGCAGACAAGATGCAAGAACACAGCCTGCAGTGATTCACAGCTTTGTTTCAACCCACAAGCCAGAAAATTAGCTCTTGGGTCTGTGGGCCCAAAGTGAACTTTAAAGCAATAAAGACTGGAAGCAGGGTCTGGGAAGGCAATACAAAATGTGGAGAGTTGAAAAGGAGGCAGAGCTGGCAGGAATGGGTAGGGAGAGTGTTTGGTAAATAGCACCTTTGAGTCAAAATTGAGCAGTTAAGAAATCCAGGAAAGGGGACTGGCTGTGGGGAGGGGAACCTGGGGGTAGAGGAAGTGGGGGAAGATTCCTCACTAAGGGGCAACAGCAGGAGGGTGGCCATCCTGGCCAAATGCCCTAGCCCTGTCCTTCTTCAGGTGATTTGGTTTGGGAAACTTGAGGTCTTTTGAGGACCCCTCATCCATGTCACTGAGAAATTGAAGGAAGGGAGTTTCTTCCCAGTGTAGCTTTCCACTTTTCTCCAACCCACAACAGTAAATATTGCACAAGTCTACGACAAATTTGGATTGTACTGAGAGAGACAGCAACCTTTCCCACAGATGCTCTGAGCACCAGGGAGAAAAAACAGTGCCCAAGGTTTGGCTTTTATTTAGTGTCGGCCCTGCAAGAATACCAAGTAGTCTTGCAGAACATGGGGCACTCTCCCATTCAGCCAAGGAATACATGCAAGGCTGACCAGCCAGCCATCATCCCAAGGAGAGCAGGAGAGATGGTTCCCTAAGCCCACCAGGGCATCAGGAGGTTCCGAGAGCCAGTTTTCCTCCAGACCCTCCTGGGACCCAGGGGGCATATTGCACAGTGACTGAGAACTCTTGTCCTAGAAAATAGGGTAGCTCCACGGCCCGACTGGAAGGGAAGAGGGAGGAGAGGGTGAGAGGAGAGTTGTGCTTTTGAAAAGAAGGCAGTAATAGAGGACCTGGAGTTCCCTGTAGCTTTTGAGCCACCTCTCAAAGGGATCATGGCAGCAGCAACAAGACTTCCATGTGGTTCCAAAAAGAAGAGTTTGGCCAAAAAACATCCCCAGTGGATACTCTTTGGGTCCCAAAATTCCATTGCAAATCACCCCCAAATTATTTGCCACACATACACACAAAGCAGCACTAGCAAAGCAAAGGTTTTGTGCAGAGTTCCCTCCCATCCTAACCCCAGTAACTTCCAGTTCCCTCCTCCCCCCTCAGAAACAAAACAAAACAAAACAAAAACCCCCAAAGCTTTAGATTCCTGGCTGGAGAGCAACATCTATAGGTCCCTGAGGGTAGAATTAGAAACAAGTCATGATTTCAAGAAAAGCTGCTTAGGACAGTAGGAATCAGGAGAGGCCTTTTCACTCTCTGCCCAGGACCTCATTAGAAAATTAAAAGAAATATAAAGTATAATTAAAAAGAAAAAGGAAAAAAAAAAAGATAACATAGTATTATTTAAGTCTAGGCATGAATGCCCCTGAGTAATAGAGGAGCCAGGGATGCAGGTGTCTGGCTGGGGGAGACAGAGAGTTCTGAACTTGGCCTCTCTTCCTCCCCCAGGGCAAATCCCAACCTCTCTGTTCACAGTTGCTAATCTTGCTCGCTCCCTCTCCCATCTTCCTGGGGCACTAGCCAAACGTCTCCCACTTCACCTTGGCTAGGTCTACCCCCTAACAGCTCCCCCTCCTATAGGCAGACACTGGCTCACAGACTCAAGCACACACAACAGTTCTCTCCAAAGGCACCTGGGGAGGCCACTTCCAAGCAGCTCCCTTGAAGGATTTTTTTTCTTAAAAAAAATCTTTTGGTTTTTTTCCTCCTCTTTTCTTAAAAAAAAAATAATATATATATAAATAGCTCTTCATTTAAAAATACAGTTCCCCAGGTTGAGGTATGTGGTGGCCTGTTGTCACGGCAGCATGAGCACGGCGGCGCCCAGGGCGGGGGCGGAGGGGTCTAGCTGGAGACCGCCATCACGTAGTTCTTGGAGGGGCTGCTCCGGCCCAGCAGCACTTGGTTCTTGCAGGTGAGGAGCCCACAGGAGGCGGCCACTGGGGCCTCCTCGTACAAGACGCAGATGGAGCCGTCCTCCCCAATGCGGTAGGACACCTCATAGGGGTCCACCCACAGGGTCAGCTCGCTGGGCAGCAGCTGGTGCAGCTGGGGCTGGCTGAGTCCGATCTGGCTGGCCACCCTGCTGATGATGGGGTCCATCTTGTGGTTGATGCGAATGCAGCGGTAGCCCGAGCCCTTGGACGGCTTTTCAGGAAACCAGTGGTGTTTGTAGTGCTCTGTGGAGACAGGACGGGGGGAGATGCCCTGGTTAGAGCAGCTGGGCCATGGATACTACCACAGAGCAGGGAGGAGGGTCAAGGAACAGGAGAGGAAGGGGCCCTTTAAGTAAGGGAGGTGGATTCCTCTGAGTTCCAGGACCCTCTTGCCACTTAGCAGAGAAAATTTTATGGAAGCGGGAGAGATCTGCTTTCCTGCTTCCAGAACGTGTGTGTGTGTGTGTGTGTGTGTATGTTGGGAGGGGATTCCAGAGCTCTGGGGTACTCTCCAGTGGCCAGTGTATTGCTTTTGGCACACCCCCAGTTTCAGGAGGGAAGGGTGTGACTGGGGCTGGCATGTCCAGGCAGGGCCTCTGGAGACCTGTGAGCTGAAGTTTCAGGGCCAGGAAGGCTGCCAACATTGTTGGGTCCACAGCAAGTAATTGGGCCTCCCACCCTGTGTTCCCTCTGCTTCCTTCAGAAGAGTCAGGGAACCTTCCTTAGCAGTGCCCAAGGGAGTGAAAACTGGGTTGTTTTGATGAAACATCTGTTTTTCTCAGAAGGCAGGGTCTGTGTGGGTGCGTTCCGAGATGGCTATCGCTTCCCCAAACTGACAGCAACCAGCTAGAAACAGCTGGGAGAGAGGTCTCTCCCCAGCCAGCGAGCGGGCTGCTTATCTCTTCACCTCCCAACTCGAAGGCCAGCAGGGCAGGGTCACCAGCTACCAGGCTCTCCTCCCTACCACAATAGGTGGCAGATGGCTAAGGGGAACCAAAGAGAACACAAAGGGGGCCCAAATTCCAACTTGAAGCGAGTCAGCAACCAGTGGACTGCCCCAGGCACAGCGCACCCCGACCGGCAGGAAGAACGGCACTGGGACTCCGAGTTGTTGAAAAGGCTCGACTGCACCTTCTTCCCTCATCGGGACCCCTCGGCCGACCGGGCGGCCCGCAACAACATCCATCGAGGGTCTTAAGATCTCGAGGGTCCAGCGAGGGAGACGAGCCCGTAATGAGACCGGGACATAAGCTGGGGACTCGGGCTGGCACTCCAGGACCAGGGTTTGCGCCTCCGAGAGCGTGGAGGGGCGCGCCCCATCAGAACAGCCACGGGCCGAGACCCGAGCACAGGGTTGGGGAGGAAGACCCAGGAAACTGGGGACTGCGGGCCGCCCCGGGGGTCGGAGGAGGGCCACCGAGTCCCCAAGCTGCTCCTGTGGGTGACCCTGCCGCAGGAGTAAAGGAAAGACGGCCCTGGCAGGGAGGGGGCCGACCCCCGGTGGCGCCAGGCCCCTCGGCACGCGCTCACCTGTGAGTGCCTCCTGGAGCGCCCCGCTGAAGACCTTAAGCCGCTGCTCGCTCACGCAGCCCCGGGTCCTCAGGAGGCTGGAGAGGAAGCCTACGGCGGCGGCGATCTCCGGGAGCATGTCGGTTCCCTTCCCGTGGCTCATGTCGCGCGCGGCTCGGGCTCAGTGAGAGGTCTCGGGTGGGAAGTACGGGTCCACAAGCCAGCGCTGCCCTGGCCACTGCTCGGGCTCTGCCCGGACTTTCCCCGGGCCGCCTTTTTCAGGAGGTCCAGGGAGGTGGGGACAACCGGTGGCGGCGCTCATTGGCCGCGGCCAACGGATGGGGGCGGGGCTCGGGCCCGCCCCGCCCCGCCCCGCGCTCCGGCGCTCTTCCCCGCCCCCGCCACCCCAGCCCCCGCCCTCGCAGCCTTGGCGGCGCTGAGGTCATCGCTCGCTGACGTCAGTGCTAGGAACCTGCGCCCAGCTGAGCTGAGCGAGACGAGAGGAGAAAGCGAGGCTCGGGGAGGAGGCTCCCGAGTACTCCGCGCCGGGCAGGCCCCGGCCTCGCCTCTCCTCCCATTTTTAAGGCTCGGGTTAGAGGCCACCTCCTCCGAGAAGCCTTCGGTGACACCACCAGAAGGCTTCCCAGAACCGTTCCCAGGTGGTTCCCCTTTCGGATTCCCACAGCATTTTCCAACCATACACGGTCAGAACCACTCACCAGGACGTGTTGTCACCATTTTACCTCTTTGCCTCGTCTCTTAACTAGATGAAATGGGTTCCTCTTGGCTCTTTGGAAAGGGAGGCTGTCTTCTGCTTATTTCCGTAGTAATCCCACCTCCCACAACAAGTTCCGTTCTGCAGCAATGCCTTTTCTCTTGCTGAGAAACATTCAAGTCTAAGTTTTATGGTGGATAGGGGTAGGGGGTGTGTTGCAAGACTTTTGTCTTCTTAATTTATTTTTCTAGTTCTCACTTTCCTTAAGTGCTAATTTTTTTGAATTAGTAGTCTGCTCTCAACTGTACATATTTTTCCGTCCACTCCCTCCTTCCCCAGCCGTCTTCCTTCCTTATTGTGGATTGGACCTTCTCGAGAAAGAATCCGGCCTCAGTCTCCCTCTTCCACACTCAGGGACCGCCACCATCACAGGCACTCGGTGGATGTCTTCCGAATGGGGATAACTTCTACCCAACACCCCGAAGCCTGGCCCAGGGTCTGGCATACAGATGCCCAGTGTTTGTAAGGTGACTCAAACCCAATGGCCTCTGTAAATTCCTATTTTCCTTGAACTCTGAGCCCTCTGACCACCTTCTGGAAGCAGTGTCCCTGTCCTTTTTCCTTATGCCCCAGGCTTCTCCACCCCACTGCCTGGCTGTGCTGGCCCTGGATCCCTTCCTGCCCCGTTCCCCACACTATGTCTCCTCAGTCCTCCTCCCTTTTCTCTAGGCTGCCTTTCCTTGGAGAGGTCCTATGCATGTAGTCTGCCTTGATGTTTACTGTTTTACAGTGACTTTTCTCATCTGCACAGTCTGTCCTCCTGTCTTTCCATCCTGCTCCTGTTCCCACCAGCTCTGTCCTCTCCCTCAGATGTCCAGCCACCACCTCAATGTGAGCGGAAGCCCATTGTCTTCTCCAAAGCTAGCTCCCTCTTGATCTCCATTTCTGTCAGCCATACCATCATTTCCCAGTCACTCTGTACAGAAAGGTCAGCCTCTCCTTGTACTTTGCTCCCCAGATCCAGTCCCCAAATCGGTTGCTTCTTTCTGTCTAGATGGTTGCAGTGGATTCCATCCAGTCCCATCCCCAGGCCACCCTTCCCACTGTTAGTGGAGTTCCCTTGGTAAAATACTTAATTCCCTAGCTCTTCTCTTGATCAGGTCATTCCGAAACATCCCCTCCCAGATTGGTCTACTAATTCCAGTCCAGACTCCTTTGCCTAATGTTTAAGACCCTTCATAATTTAGCCCCATCTACCTTTTTAGGTTTCTGCTACTTTGTGTTCCAGGGTCACTCTTCTCACTGCCCTCTAAGTATCACAGCGAATCTACAGCCTGGATCCCTCAACAGTTTGCCCATGATCCCCATCTCTGCCCTGTAACGTGGTCCCCATTCCATGCATGCCTGAACATGCATGACCTTGCTGCTCCGTGGCTCATGTCCTTATCTCCTGCATACATCATTGTCTCTACCACGCCCCACCCCCACCTCAATCTCTCACACTGCTGAAGGTACAGTGTAATATTGGTCTTCCACCTTGAAAGCCTATGCTGACCATTCTCTCGAGGCTGAGTTAGTCATCCATACCATTCACTGGGCATTCACAATCTATCATTTGGCATTGTTAGTGATCTTTTTAGAGACTCAACCACAGTTTGCAAGTTACTTGAAAACAGGTTACTATGCTCACATGTCCCACATTTCTGGGACAATTCAGAATTCAAATATGCTGCTCTACTGCTTCATATAACAAATCAAAACGACCCCAAATTCTAATATTTTGGCATTAAACTTATCTCTTAGACGGCCTCTTTCACTGGCTTCTCCCCAAACGCTGGATCAGGCCAGATGAGGCCATTACTTCTCCTCACTGAGGGGAAAGAATTATTTGTTACAGGAAACAGGGCTGACCCTGGAAACAAGTTAACTTAAAGATATACCAAACCATACAGACCAGGTGTCAGCAAGGCCAGAACTGACCAAGGTCAACCACTAAGGAAGTCAGGGAAATAGGTCAAGATATAGACAGCTATATAGGGTCATTCAGCACCTAAATCTGAAAACACCAACCATCTTCCTGGGTATGTCTGTGACAGGGGTGAGTCGTAGGAGATGCCTAACATCTCTTGCAACTGCACTGCTGAAAAAAATATTGTGGTAGCCCCTCACCTGTTTTTTGCTTTAGAAAATAGAATTCTGTCCTTATGTAGATTTTTCTGTCACTCACCAGGCCACACAGTGAATTCTCAAGAGAACCAGGACTGGGACCAAATTTTCTGACTTCAAGTATGGAACCTTTTCTTTTCTTTTCTTTTTTTTTTTTTTTTTTTTGAGACGGAGTCTCACTCTGTCCTTGCTGGAGTGAGTGGGATCTCAGCTCTGCAAGTCGCTCCGGTTCAGCATTCTGTCAGCCTAGTACTGGCGCGCCACCTCGCCGCTAGTTTTTGTATTTTTTAGAGACGGGTTCACTGTTGCCAGGATCTCGATCCCTCTCGTGATCCACCCTCCGGCCCCCATCGGTACGCTGCCACCGCCCCCCTGGACTTTTCATTAGACTGTGGTGCCCTTCTGCTGCTGTTGCATGGGCCGCCGTCCTACAGAGCTGTCATTGCAGATGATGTAGTGAATGGGACAGGAGCCGGGAGGCTGGAACCCTTTGTCTCCACCGTTACCCGGGGTGTGTCTTGGCCTCCTCATTGGTGATTAGTTTGTGAACTTTGTGTAGGGCAGAGATGATCCATAAATACCAGAAGGCAGTGCCCCCGCTTTCTCCTCTTTTCTTTTTCTTTTTTTTTCTTTTTTTTTTTTTTTTGAGATGGGATCTCGCTCTGTCATCAGGCTGGAGTGCAGTGGCCTGATCTCAGCTCACTGCAACCTCCGCCTCCCGGGTTCAAGCAATTCTCCTGCCTTAGCCTCCTGAGTAGCTGGGACTACAAGCATGTGCCACCATGCCCAGCTATTTTTGTATTTTTAGTAGAGGTGGGGTTTTATCATATTGGCCAGGATGATCTCGATCTCTTGACCTCGTGATCCACCCACCTTGGCTTCCCAAAGTGCTGGGATTACAGGTGTGAGCCATTGTGCCCAGACTCTCCTCTTTTCTTTCTATACACAAGCCTAGGGAGAGGAAGCTTAATTTATCTCACATTCAAAGTTCCCAAGTCAATATACAGCGTAGCCGGGTGTGGTAGCTCATGCCTGTAATCCCAGGACTTTGGGAGGCTGAGGCAGACTGATCATTTGAGGACAGGAGTTTGAGACCAGCCTGGCCAACATGGCGAAACCCAGTCTCTGCTAAAAATAAGTAATAATAATAATAATAATAATAATAATAAATTAGCTGGGTGTGGTGGCGGGCGCTGGTAAAGCCTACTCCAGAGGCTCAGGCAGCAGAATCGGTTGAACCCAGGAGGCAGAGTTTGCAGTGAGCCGAGATCACGACACTGCACTCCATCCTGGGCAACAGAGTGAGAATCCATCTCAAAACATAAAAAATAATTAATTAAAAATATACATATGCATACGGTGTAATTGTACTCAACTCTGGATTTAGGTTCTCAATCAATTTCTGAACAAATACATTATAGTAGTCCCAATTGTTTTTGAAATTTCCTGAAACTGCTCTTAAATTGCTAGGACTAGAATCCTTAGAAGCTCTAAAAGTCAAGCTGTCACCCCTGCTTTTTTTCTTTGCATGTTGCCTGTTGCTTCCCATTCCTTGGTATAATCAAGGTGCTGTTTGAGCATCAAGATAAGGAGAATGGGTCGCCTCTCCCTCCCCACCTGTCCTTCCTGCTTCTCTTTCTCCATTCCTGCCCTTCCTCCTCCTCCTCTTCCTCCTCATTCTTCTCTCCCTCCCTCCACTCCCACCCAAGGGTCTTGGGTTGAATTTTGAACTTTAAATGTTGACATGTGCTGACCAGTGACTTCACCCACTGAAGAGGGGGAATGGGGTGGTAGAAGTGAGGGTGGACTTCATTTATGCCTCATCTGGACCAGAACTTCTGTCCCATTTGACCTCAGACCTATTGATTCCTCTAGTCCTGGTTGCTCACCTCGCCTACTTGCATGGCCCACCTGTGTGACCCACTCAGGAGTGACCCACCTGCTCTCTTCAGACCATATTCCCATTCAGAAGTGGGTCCCACTCCTCAGGCCTCTGTGCTGGCGCTGTTTGTGGGGTTAGCATGCAGCCCTGCTCTCCATTTCCAGCTCAGAAGCAACTGGATCTTTGTAAGTAATTTCTGTCTTTCCCAGAGCCCTGTTGGGCCTGTGGGGACTTGGCTTGGTTGCCTCAATTTTCTGAGCACAGGTAGAAACCTGAGGTTGAGTGAGGCAGGCAGAGGCTGGGCTGAGATATTCTAGGAGGATAACATCAGGTCATTTCTACACCATGCAGAGTGTATTTTTTGTTGGTCTGTGTGTGTGTCAGTGTGGTTAGGGAGTTATTAGTATATATATTTGAGTGAGCATACATACTTAGATTGCACTTGGGCTCTGATGTGTGTGGGTAGCAGGGAATATG